GTCAGTCTGCCGCAATATGGTCTGCCACATTTGTCACCAACTTTAGCTTCTATCTCTATGTAACTGTCTGTCCATCTGTATCTCTCTCTGTATATCTGTATCTATGCATCGGTTAAACCTCTAAAGTGCCATAGATTATTATAACACTCGCGCCATTCGACTGTTCCTGCGGTTAGCCGCAAAACTCAAAACCGAAACAGACACTGAGGCGAGGCATGGCATGGCGTGGCGAGCCATGGGCCCCACACAGTCACCCTCCTCCACCCTCTTGCTCCACCCTTTTGGATGCATTATGCATAACCAAATTGGGGGAAACAGCCAGGAGGGGCGGAGTTGCGGCTCCACCCATAAGCAGAGCTCTGGGGTGGGCAGCAACTTGGCGCGAATTAAGGAAAGAAAAGCGGTGGAAAAAACGGCGCAGAGGCAGGGGAAAGGGCTGGCCTGGCTGTCAACAATGCAACGGTAAAGAAAATGAATGGAGAGGAAAGCCCACAACGGAAATGCTAACGTTAAAAATAAATTATGGTAGGTGGAAGAAAATGCTAAATGATAGCAGAGAGGCCGAGAAGGAAAACAAAGTAGAAACGAGAGTAAAGGTGGGACAAGAAAGGCTTAAAGAGAGAGGAAAAGATTTCGTTGATTAAAAGTTTATTTATTTTATCAAGTTAACTTTGAGAACTTTTAGCTGTTGCAACTGCATTTCAATTATCGTCGATTTATGCAGAGTTTTTCTATAAGTTTCTTTTAAATAAATGACAGAAATGACACGCTTAAAGATTAATAGTTATGCCTCAACCTCTTGGCAAATTCTATTAGCCATAACAGCCACAAATTTGACTCTTCAAAATGTGCAAAAAAATATTAGATAAAAGATAAGAAATATTTAAAACATTTTTTAAACTAAATTCGAAATGTAATCTTGAGCTAAAAATATATTTCAAACAAAAATGGCACTCGCTTTGCCTAAAACTCTCATCAAAATTGTTTCAAAGCCCATCTGGAGCATATTTATGTTTGAATCATAAATTAGAGCTTGGCTTATGGCCTGACTGCCTGCCTACCTGCCACGCCTTGTGCTGTGTGTGAGTGTGTGTGTTTGAAAGTGCTGCCAAAATGCAGTTTAATCACCTCCCAGATAGACGGCCCACATGTTGGCCAAAAATGAAGCAAACAACGAAGGCGGCATCGGCATCCATAACATGAGGCGGCAGCCTACACCAAAAATGCACATTAGAGAGCAGAAACACACAGAGAGACACAAACAGATGGTGGCATGTGGCATGGGGCATCGATCAGGCAATGGACTAGAGATTTAATTACCAGAGCCAGAGGATTTTCACTCCCATGGCAACAGAGCGGCAGTCGAACCGAAGCGGACTAGCAGAGAAAATGAAAGCTGGCCAACATTTGAATCCCCCTTCTGCCCCCTATCTCTGTCACGCTGTTGCTGTTGCTGTCTCTCTGTTTGGGCGTCGACGCCAACGCAGTGTGAGACGAACGGAACGACGACGCGCGCCGCCAACGTTGAATGAAATTTCATTCACAAAAATTCAGCAAAAACGAAGCCAAAAAGGCAATGGACACAAGTCACGCATGCGTGGAGAGCAGAGCAGAGAGCGGAGTGAAGAGGGAATTGTATTCAAAGAGAGAGAGAGAGAGAGAGAGAGAGAGAGAAACAGACAGAGAGGAGAGCAAAGAGTGGAGCGCAGTGTGAGCGTGGCGTAGCTTGAAGATTGGGCGTCGCATTGCGAGCGAACGTTGCCCAACCGGAAGTATTAAATTCCAATTATGGCGACAAGATACATTCCCCACACAGTCCCACTCCCCGCCAAGCCGCTGGCTTTATAGCTTATGAATTTATTCCTCAAAATGCTGCAAGGAGTGAGAGAGGAGAGCGGGGTCCACTGCCTGCATCAGACGCCGTCGTAGACGCTGTCGCACATCATCGAATTCGGGCAATGGCACCAGATTCAGCTCCTCGCCCGCATCCAGACGATGATCGTACAACTCCTCGCCATAGATGTCGTGCCAGTCTGCAAAACATATATAAATACTATAGAAAAGAGTTGGGAGAGTAGGTGGAGCACCTACCACGACTAAAATTCAGCGCGTGGAAGCGCACCCACAGCGTATATCTGTAGAGATCCGTGCGCAGGCTGTAGCCCATGATATTGATGTTGCGCAGCTTGGGCTTGTCGCTATTTGGATGCTTTGTGGGCAGCATGCCAGGACGCGGATACTGACTCAAGGCCACATAATCTTGCGCTAAAAAAGATACATCAAAGTAGAGCAAACCTCAAGCATCAACCAATAGATAACTCACCCGCATCCAAGCCTAAACCCTGAAGCTGCGGATACAAGCTCTTGCCCTCGCCACAAGTCACAGCTGTGGCCTCCGTGCAACTGGGCAGCGGTGGCAGTCCCGCCAGATCCGCCAGCGTGGGAAAGACATCCAGCAGCTCCGTGATGGCTGTGTGGTTCTTGGCCTGGCTCACCGGAAACTCGGGCGTGCGAATGATCAGTGGCACGCGCAGAGCCACCTCGAAGTTGCTGTACTTTGCCCACTCGGCATGCTCGCCGAGCGACCAGCCGTGATCGCCCAGCACCAGCACGACCGTTCGCTGCAGATCCAAGCCGGCGAGCAGCTTGCCAAACAGATCATCCACATAGGCCACCGAGGCGTAGTAGGCCTGACGAATCTGCGCCGCTTGCTGCCTCGAAATGGGTCCATAGGGAAAGGAGATGTTCGAGTGCTTAAAGTCGTCCCTGGCTCTGACATCTGTGTAGGGATTCCACGCGACGGCGGGCATGTCCGCTGGCTTCAGGCTGTCCTCCGTGTAGTTGAAGAACTTCTGGAGCGGAAAGCGCTGAAGGAACTGCCGCGGGAAGCGGAAATTGATGTGCGGCTTGTGGAAGCCAAGGGCCAGAAAGAAGGGACTGTCGCGGCTGCTCTTTCGCGACTCCACAAAGCGCAGAGCCTCCGTGACGGACTCAATGTCTGGCAGGGTCTTGTACGGCTGCGTCTGCAGGTGCACCGGACAGATGAGATTCTTGCGGAGCACACCCTCGCGATCGGGACAGACGGGAGAGTTCATGTACTGCTCGGTGCGTGGACGGAACGCTGGCGCGGACCAGCTCAGCGGATAGTCATCGCTGTTGTTCGAGGACAGGCCCGGATGGAAGACCTTGCCGCAGCTGTAGGTGTGGTATCCATGCTGCTTGAAGTACTGCGGCAGCGTCGTAAAGTTGCCCACAAATGTGCGCCAATAGCTGTAGAAATCGTACAGATGGAGCGTGTCCGGGCGACGGCCAGTGAGCAGAGAGTTGCGACTGGGCGCGCACAGAGCTTGCTGGGAAGTAGAACTATCAGTGGGTGGCAGCGGTAGAGCTGTGGTAAATCCTCACCTGACTGTAGGCACGCGTAAACACATGTCCGCCCTGTGCAAATGCATCCAGATGCGGTGTGCTGGCCAGGGGATCGCCATAGGCACCCAGCACTGGACGCAGATCATCAAAGATGACCATCACCACATTGTGTCGTGGAGCAGAGGCTGCTACGAGGTCGCACAAGTGCAGCAGCAGCAACGGCAGCAACGTCCAAGCGCTGGACATCTCGACGACAATGAAGATTCGCGACTGTTGACTTCCAAGATGCTGACACGACGGATGTGCCCTGTGTGCCCATGAAATGTGCCCGTCGGGTAGATTAGCTGCAGGCTCAAGGGTTAACAGATTAAAGGATAAATCGTGTGATTTGTGGACACATCTGAGGGCATTGCAATTGAATTGGAGGAGATCTAAACACAAGTAGAGTGGAGGGTGAATCCTCCTTTAGGGTATCCTCTAGTCGTTCCCTTGCTCCGCTGTTTCCATGTGCTTGGCAAAAAATGCGCGGCATAAATTCAAGACCGCCCCTCCATTATATTTCAATTGATTTAAACGGAAGCGCGCCTCGACAACGTCGCTAATGGGAATGCAACAACACACACTGATACATATACACGTCTGTATATGTGCACACTAATACATGGTCTGGCATGATTCATAATTATTTACATAAAATATTTAATGATTTGTGTGTTCTAGTCTAACGATTAACAATAATAAAACGTACGAAGATTTTTGCTTTTGTGATATCAAAATTCGTCCTTCCAATGTGTATATGTGTGTGTCTGTCTGTCTGTCTGTCTGTGTGTGTGTTTAAGGAATATATAGGTCATGTGTGTGTAACTGTAAAACAAGTAAATCCTTCATGGATTTTCAACTAATGGTCTCGTTTCCCTTCAGAACACTGCCCCACAGTTGGTGCAGCGCTTCTCCTTCATTGCCAGGCAGCAGAGTATGCCCACGGGAAAGAAGAAGATGGCGCAGCATAGTCCCAGCGCCGAAAAGGTGTCCTCCAGGTAGCCAATGCGACAGGATGGACAGCCTCCAATCACTATGATCTCCGTGGGCAGCGCCACCTGCGGCGGCTGGATGACCACGCTAACGGGCGTCGTCTCGAATGCACCGTATGTGGGCATATGCATATTGGGGGGCGGTGCCGTTGGCAGTCCATGGTGTACGCCCGCAATGAGGCGAGCATCTGCTGAAAAGGTTTACTGATTAGAATCTGTTGGTGGCTTTCTTTGTCTCCCGGTGTTGCCTCCCACTCCTTACCCTGCGAGGAGGCATTCATGACTTCTTCGTAGCTTGGTGGTGCGGCTTCTTTTGCGGGATCCGCCATACTGACACGAAAGCTCTTTCTCTCTACCCTGTACAACCAAATGACTCACGCTTTTTCGTCAATGTTCTAGCGATTATCTGCAATTTGTTGTTCCTGTTTTATTTGTCTCTTTTTTTAATTGCGTTAACTTTTCCCCTATCGTTGTCTTTGTTTTGCTATTTCCAGCGATATATGAACATGTGTGTATATCGCACGAACAGAACAGCTGTTTGCGATAGCAGCTATCGATTGACAGCAGCCGCTGTTGAACACAGTGACGCGAGCGACAGACACAGCTAGTATTTGAACATTTTTGGTTATTTGTTTTCTAATTGCTGAGATCTATTGGCAAACTTATAGTATGCATCGATTTGACTACGAGTGAGCGAGGATTTCAGCTTGCACATGACCTTCTCAAAGTCCTGCATCTCAATCTTTGTGGCCTGTGGGTCGCGCTGGAAGGTTTGAATGGCCGCCTCATTGCACAGATTGCACAGATCCGCGCCAGAGTAGCCCTCGGTGTGCACCACGATGGTGGCCAGATCCAGCTGCTCATCAAATGGCATCCGCTCGCCGTGAAGCTGCAGCAACGCCAGGCGGGATTTCAAATCGGGCGATGGGACGTGGATGAGCTGGTCGAAGCGTCCGGGACGCAGCAGGGCATCGTCAATCATTTCAGGACGATTGGTGGCCGCCACCACGAGTATGTGCTTCTCATTGCTGCCGCCCACAATGCCATCCATCTCTGTGAGCAGCGTGGAGAGTATTCTCAGCTGCACCTGGCCACCGCCTCCGCCGGAAACCGTGCGACGTCCCACCAGGGAATCTGCAATGGAAAGGGAGAACGTGAACCTCGCGGAAAACCTTCTGCTGGATGACTTGACTGCTACTTGCCAATTTCGTCGAGGAATATGAGACATGGCGCATTCTTGCGGGCCGTGTTGAACATTCGCGTAATGCAGCGCTCGGCACTGCCCACATAGGGGGAGTAAACCTCCGCTGCGGAGGTGGCTATGAATGTCATGTTGGCCTCCTTGGCCAAGCACTTGGCAATGGTGGTCTTGGCACAGCCTGGCGGTCCATACAGCAGCACACCCTTGGGCAGACTGAGGCCGAGGCGTGCAAAGGCCTCACCATGCTGCAGCCCGGCGATCACAGACGCCTCCAGCTTGCGCTTAAGCGCATCCATGCCTCCGATTGCCTCAAAGCCCAGCGTCATCTTCTCCACGCGCACGCTCGTGGCAAGCGAGCCACTTGAACACAACTTATTCAGGCACTTTAGAAATATTTTGGGCAAATTTGGCTGCTGGTGGAGCATCACATCCTTCTGCACCTGGCTGAGCAGCAGGTTTAAGTCCGAGATGAAATATCCCTGCGTATTCTTGGCCAAATGATCGAGCAGCGCCTCGTGGGGCAGCGGCAGCTGATGCGCCTGGCACCAGGCTGCTATTAGTCTGCCACGCTCCTGCTCGTTGGGCATTTCCACGGTAATCTCGCGACCAAAGCGCCCCGCACGACGCGCATGCTCATGCAGTTGGTCCGGATTGCTGGTGGTGGCCAGGCAAATGATGCCCGGATCCAGTTCGTCGATTAGTTTGTAAAGCTGTGCCGCAATGCGCAACGAATTGTTCGAGTTGCCCGAAGAGTTGCTTGGGGCGGCGCACAGCAGCTCCAGATCCTCGATGACTATCACAATGGGTGCTGAACGGGGAACAAAATGATTACCTGGCCAAGCCAAAAGGAACTTCTCTGTGACTTACTGGTTGGCCGCATATTCGCTTTGAATGCGCGCGCTGCCTGGAAGATTTTCCTTAGCTCCTGCTCGGTGCCGCCTGGCTGGGAGCTCATCACTTTGGAGGAGGTGATGTAGTAGCAATTGCAGGAGTTTCGTTGCAGGAATCTGGCCAGCAGCGTGCTCTTGCCACAACCCACGGGACCCACAATCAGCGCCGTCGTGGGGAATCGATGGGAGAGCAAGCTACGCTTTGAGGTCACCAGCAGCTGTTCCAATGCAGCCATGGGCTGCTCAAAGCTATCCGTCAGGTAGTGCGTGCAAGTTGGCAGAGATTTGGGCATGGCCAGACGCACATCCACAATCTCGATCACTGAGTGAATGTTGTCCAAGGTGAAACAATGATTGTCCGGCACCTCGGGGATATCCAGTATGTGGATGGTGTCTATGCCCATGCTGCTCATGTTCTCCTGTCTCACGTAGCAGCCCTTCTCGAGCACGAGGCCGCGCAGGAAGATTGCAATATCAGCGCCGAGCTCCTCCACCTCGAGTTGCGGCTGTTTTTCGTGCAACATTTCGGTGGCAAAGATCACACACGAGACCTTTGTCACATTGCGTACCAGTGTCAGTGACTCGATGCTGGTCAGGCGTTGATTTGTCGCTGAGAACTCGGCCGAGGAGCTCACTGAGTTGTCCAGAAAGCAACAACTTTCGCTGCCGGCACGCCGCAGCACGCAACAAATGGCATAGCTGCCATTCGAGAGGGTGCAGCGACACCAGTAGCTCTTCGTAATTGACAGTGGATACTCCTGCCAGGGTATATAGCACTTCTGCCCCTCAACAGCGTCCAGCAGCGACAGCGAATTAGTTGTAATGTCTACTTTCGTGGCCATGTCCCGGCGGCGCGTGTTTTCGCGGTTGTAAACAACATAGAGGCGGCAAACCAACCGATAGGCAACTATCGATTGCAAACCGCAACCCCATATAGTGGCACTCTTCTGACGCCATCGCCATTGACGCCTGTGACGCAGAAATTGTGTGTGTAAAATTGAGCTGAAGCTGCGCTTATTTTCGTTGTTTCTGCAGTAGTTAATTATAGATAATAGCAGGGAGTGCATCAAAAGTTGCACGGACACAGGGTCCCCAAAGTTGATGCCCCGAGCAGCGAGTGAGTGTGCGATTGTGCTGCTTTTCCAGCGATTCTTTCTCACCTGCCCAATCGATCGGCATTTTTTTCTCTATATTTTTCTTCTCCGCTGCTGTGTGTGCGTGTGCTGCGTGTGTGTATGCGTGTGTTGTGTGCGCACTTGTGTGGGTGTCTCTCATTCATGCAAACGAAACGGAACGGCTGCAGGTAAACAAACGCTGCCAATGCGCGAAATGGCCGATTTGGATGCAGTGAATCTTGGGCTGGACGAGAATGAGGCGGACATTGCCGAGGAGCTGCAGGACTTTGAGTTCAACACGCGCAGCGAGGCCTCCGAATCGAATGGCGGCGAATCCTCAGACGACTCGGAGCCGAGCATCAGTTCGGTCAGCACGGCCCCCTCCTCGCTGGTGGGCAGCGGCAAGCGCAAGACCAAGACCAAGGTCAAGGCGGCTCCACCCCCACCTGTGCCCGAAAAGAAAGCCGAAAAGCCCAGCTCAAAGAAGACGAAGCGCGAGGCCACACCCGAGGACATGAACGGTGGCAAAAAGAAGAAGCGCACGGGCAGCGAGTCGAAGAAATCCAACAGTCAATCGTCCAGTGAGCCACCACTGGCGGTGAAGTCCAAGGCCAAGTCCCCGCCCGTCGAGGAGCGGGAGACGCAGTCGAAGAAGTCATCGTCACGCAGCAAGAAGACGCCCAATCCCAGCGATTCGGGCAACAAGAGCGAGGCGAGCGATGCGGAGGATGAGAAGCCAGCCGTGCCGGCTCTGGAGTCGGACAGCGAGTCCTCCGACTCGGATTCGGGCACACAGCACAAGCGGAACGGTGGCGGCGGGGCGCGTGGCAAGGCCAGCACAGCGGCCAACAGCTCAAAGAACTCCACGCCCGAGAAGGATGGCAGCGGCTCGCAGTCGCAGAAGGGCTACGACTACATGACGAAGCTCAACTATCTGTTCCGGGACACGCGCTTCTTCCTCATCAAGTCGAACAATCTGGACAATGTGCAGCTCTCCAAGAGCAAGAGCGTGTGGGCCACGCTCCCACAGAACGATGCCAATCTGAATCAGGCCTTCAAGGAGGCACGCAACGTCCTGCTCATCTTCTCCGTCAACGAGAGCGGTAAGCCAGAGTCAATCCAAGGAGCGACATGAATGGCATTTATTCTCCACTCCCTTCTTGCAGGTAAATTCGCAGGATTTGCGAGGATGGCGGCCCCCTCCAGGCGCGATATTCCCCAGGTGGCCTGGGTGCTGCCGCCCAGCATCTCCCCGAAGGCGCTCGGCGGCGTCATTGAGCTGGACTGGATCTGCCGCAAGGAGCTGTCCTTCAACGCCACACTGCACTTGCACAACACATGGAACGAGGGTAAGCCCGTGAAGATTGGCCGCGATGGCCAGGAGATTGAGCCCAAGATCGGCGGGGAGCTGTGCCGCCTCTTTCCCGAGGACGAGCAGATCGAGTTGACGCCCATACTGAAAAAGTCGAAGGAAACGGCACGCGTGATGCGGGAGAAGGGCATGCACGTGATCTACAAGCCACCCAGGAGTCTGTCCTCGCGCGGCCACGGCGGCAGCGGGCGTGGCGGCTCGGGGTCGGGCCACAATCAGCTCGGACCCATGCGCCACAAGAGGAGCTACCACGGACAGCAGCATCAGCAACATCGGCCGTACCACCGACATCCGCATCACGGCATGGGCGGCATGCCCCAGGGCAGCGGCTTCAAGCGCGGAGGCTCACCCTATCGGCAGATGGGAGGTGCAGGTGGTGGCGGAGCTCCTGGCGGACCACCCGAGATGTCGATGCCCTCGTGGGAGCGCTACATGTCGTCGGCCGCCGCTGCCGAGGCGTACGTGGCGGACTACATGCGGAACATGCACGGCCAGCTGCCGCCCCTGCCCTTTGTGCCGCCGTTCGCCCAGATGCCACTGCCCGGAACTGCAGGCTCGGCCGGCGCCATGCCACAGGGCGCTACGCCCGCGATGTACGAGCAGCTGCCGCCACCGGTGCGATATTATGATGGCCCAGGAGCACCACCGTTGCCGGATTACCCGCCGCCGCAGCGACCACCGCCGCCAGGATTCGACAAGGCGCCCAGCTATGAGGAGTTTGCCGCCTGGAAGAACGCCGGCTTGCCCACGGTGCCGCCGCCAGGGTTCCCCGTCTATGGCGGCAGTGCTGCCAATGGCGGGAGCAATGGGGCGGCGCTGGGAGCACCGGTGCCTGGTGTGGGTGGAGCTGCTGGTGGCGTGGGAGGAGGACCGGGATATCGCAATCGGGACAACAATGGTGCCGCGGGTGGCGGTCGTCGTCGGGAGTACGGGAATCGCAGTGGATCCTCGCGAGACTCGCGTTCGTTTCGTGGCGATCGCGGCGGCGGTGGCCAGCGAAGCTATCGGGACAACAGGCGTTAGATTATCGATTGCTAAGACCGGTACGACCCGGCAAAAAGTGAAAGAATTGTGTGCTCTCGCGTGTGTGAAAATGAGAAATAATTTGCTAATTGTAGGGGCGATGCGATCGTTTAAAAGATCTAAAAATGAAAATGAGAAGAAAAAAATGATAATTCCTAGAGCTAACTGTATAATCGAACATGTTCGAGCTATCGAGAGGCAGCGCTATCGGCTATCGATACACCAGCCACACTCCAACAACAACAACAAACAACTCTCTTTCTCTCTTTCTGCATCTAACTCTCTGTCTCGCCGCCCAGACCCCTTACCCCTACTCCTGACCCATCATTTGATTTACAAAAAAAAACAAAACAAAAACAAAAACTTACGCATAAGCAAATTTAAATCCAGAAAACAACACCTAAATACTAATTAAAAATATTTTAAACCACAAAAAAAAAATACAAAATGAAAGAGAGAAATTGTGAACTTTATTTGTACGCAAAACGATGAGAGGAGAGTTTTTGAAAGACTTTTAAACGAAAGAGACGCCAAAAGAGACGCTTACAAACAACCACATGAACGTACCGTTATATCTATATATATTCAAATCGAAGCAGTGATGTGTGTGTATATGTGTTCTATCCAAGCCCCTCCCCCCTGCAACCCGCATCCTTGTGCTTCGCCACCCCCGTCCCGTCCAACAACGAAACTACAAAGAGAAAAACGAAAACCGAAACCGAAACGAGAGTTGGACAGAAAAGCGTTCCATGGAATGGAATTTTGTTCAAAAAGAATGTTTTTACACGAGTTTATCTTCTTATATCTTATGGGTATAACAACTAATGCGACAAATTATTAACATTTACATACCAAACATACATACATACATATATCCATGTCTTTCAGAGACAGAGAGGAACCCAAGAGCCCGACACACATCCGAACGAAAAACCGTATGTCCGGTGGCCCACCACCAAATCTCCCCAACCCCCAACCACAATCCACACTTTAAGATCGAACGAACGAACGGTCTCGCTCATCTACCGTATTCATCACCGTAGTAACGTAGTTAAAACTTAGCAACGTAGAGAGACTTTCCATTTCCAATCGCAAGACTGGCAACCCATAAAAGATTCGCTGGATTAAAGCCAGAGTCCCCCACAGAGAGACGAACAGACAGACCAAGACGAAGACGAAGACGAAGACGAAGACGTGACCTTTGGACAGAGAACTAGGAAGTTGTTTGCTCTTTTTCATTGCAGAAGCAGTCCACGTGCCAGATGCAGCTGTCCCGGAGGGAGATCCTAACCCAAGACTGAGATGTGAATAAAAACTTTTGTTGGATTACAAATCTATATAAAAAAGTGGTTGATACTTTTATTCAGAGATATCACACACATTCGAAAATATGTTTTATGAAGGAAGAATCTTGGGGGAATCTTCAGTAGAGGGGATTATGAATGATTTTTAGAATAATTCGCAAAAAGGGAATACGTTCCCTTTAGGCTCTTCTTGGTTTCACCAACACCTCCTCATCGCTGGAATCCAACATGGAGTCCGATTCAGAGTCGATGTCTGCGCCACTCAACACTCTGGCAATCTTCTCCGTGTTGGCTGCCATTGCCACTGGCGGTTCCGTGGCCGTAGACAGCACAGCGGCGGTGATGAGAGCAGAAGTTGTTGGCGCATCCAATTCGGGAGCTAAAATTAATAGAATTTGGGTGAAGAAAATTATATTAAGCGGGGGGGAAACACTTACTCTCCTCGTTGAGGAGTCCGTGATTCGCCTCCCGTCGCCTGGTCAGCACAATGGCGGTGATGTAGAAGGTAAGAATGGGCAGCAGGACCACCACAAAGACGGCAATGATGAAGGTATTCAATTTGACTTCCCGCTGGCAGCATTTCAACGTTTTCGACCAATTCGAACGAGTGCGATTCATCTGAAAGAGGGAAGGGCAGAGGATTAATAGCTACCCAGTTAAGCAGCTGCAAGCTGCATCGTACTCTGTCCTGTAGATCAAAGCACACGTGTCCCTTGTTGGCCTTCTCCATGCCCAAGTAGAATTGGTTGAGTTCGATGTAATCACCCTTGCAGGCTGTGCACGGATCATCTTTATTTGCACTGAGGCAGCCATCGAGAATTACCCACTTTTCATCATACATTTCCGAGTGATTGCCATTGTAGCAATCTGCAAAGAGAGAGAGAAGGGGGAGGATGGATGCTGACTCAGACTGAAAAATGGAATTCGCTTTCGTGTCTTACCCTCGCAGCTGGCCTTTTGCCAGAGATTTGTGAGTATGCCCTGGGTGGTGGCCACCACATTGATGCGATCCGAATCGAGATATATTTTGGAGCAGTTTGCATTGGAGAGCAGCTCGTCGTAGCTGTGGGTGAGGTTCCTGTACTCCGGTTCACAGCCAACGCAGAGCCTCACCGGAACGGACTTTGTGGTCGCGCAGTAGACAAAATGACTCTGACAATTGCCCAGACGGCCCACCAGGTGCTCGCAGCTTATGTTTTTGTTTTTGGCAAGCAACAGGCTGCAGTTGCAGCTTAAAATCAACAAAAAAGCAAACAGAAGCGACATTTCTTTCGTTATTTACCCCCGAAATTCGTATCGATAGCCGCTACTATAGAAGGAAGATAACAAATGCAGTTTATCGCACACAAGTATCGATATGCAAACAAGCATGGTACGCTACAAATCAGGTGGCGTTGATGATCATGCGATATTTTACCCAAAGTACTCATAATTGCGTGCATCATTCGGGTAAATGTCCCTTGCCATTTAGAAAATTCCCTTACCGTTTGAACACAAATTGTCCATTCACAATGGGAACTGGTTTTTGTTTTGCTTCCCAATTTCGTTCTCTGTTTTTCTGTCTGTTTTCAACCGTCATCCGCGCTCGTCGCCATTTTTGTGTGTGAACAAAAAAATTGAATCGAAAAGACGTGCGCGCGGACGAAAGCGCGCCACTGGAATTGAAAAATTGTTGATCGACAAAACCGCTAACAACAAATAGCCACATGAGATCCCGTGCGCCGTAGCAACAACCAAGCCATTAACCAAACGTAAATCTCTTTCTCGATATGTGTGTGTGTGTGTTTAAGTCTGCTTTTGTTTCGTGGCTGTATTTGTGCTAATTAGAAAATTGTGCTGCTGCGGCCGATCTTGCTGCTGCTGTTGCGCTTCTAACGCCGGTGCGGTTCTTAAATCGCGGCTACTTCTAATTACTGCTGAAAAAAAATATAACCATCAAAAAACAAACCTACAAAGCTGGTTTTTGCGCAGCCCCGTGTTTGTGTGTGAAAGCGGCTTGTAAGCTCAAGTCCGTTTGGATGTGTGTGTGTGTGTTGCGTGCATTGGAATTTGTTATTAAGGTCAGCCACCGAGCAGCAGCAGCAACAAGTGACAACAATTCTTAGGCATAAATTAAAAAACAGAATCCGAAAACGAGAAACCAAAACCTACAATTCTTTTGATTTCTTTTACACACTTTTTTCGGGCTTTATCTACCCACAACAACAAGAACAACAATAACCGCCGCAGCAGCCACAATAACAACTTTCCGGTTTTTCTCCTCCTCCTGCCTACCATCTTCGTGGCTACGCTACGCGTCTTCTGCATCTTTTTCTTAACGAACACTAGCAGAGAGCAGGAAGGAGTAGAAGAGAAAGATCGTAAAAAGAGCCAAATCAAGTGAAAATATTGTAAACGAAAGATAAATAAAAAAGGAAATTTATGTAAATTTAAACAGCAGCCGCATCGGCTCAGCAGCCAACAAGGAAAAAGAGAGATCACAGCGCAGCAGCAGAGGATATCTACGCAAAGTGAGAGATTCCCATAGCAGAGCAGAAAAGTAGAGAGTGCAACAGATATTTGTGTAAGCCAGGACTATAACGTAAATCATTCACGCTGGATTTGGGATACTACGAGGCTGTCAAAGGTGAGCGCAAAATGAATTGAAATACAATCCGTGAGAGGGGCGTTACTGTAAACTGTAAACTATAAAGCACCAAATAATATGCCGTTTATGGCCAACAAAACCCAAGGTGTTGCATAAGTGTGCAGAGAGGATCGAGATTGAATGTAAAACTGTGCGGAAAGGGTGCGTGTGACCAGCTCGTAAAATTAGCGTAGTGAAGCGAGAGGGATGGACACATGGTGTAAGTGATGCAGGGAGCGCGGCCCCCTACTACCTCCTCCTTTCCTCCTTTCCTCCCACCCTCTCGCTCGATGTCTGTGTCAGTGAGCAGGTGTCTGCGACGTCATTAAAGCCAGGCTCTCTTCTCTCTTGCTCACTCTCTGTCGGTCGTAAACTAGGCTAAGTAGGGTCTTAGCCAAAGCACGTTTTGGCTTCGCTTGTCTCCCTCGCTATTGCTCTCCCCCTTGCACGCTCGCTCGCTTGCTCTGGGCTTGGTTTATTTTTAAACCGCATTCCTCTTTGGCATTTGCCTGCTCGCTAGCTCGCTCGCTCATTAAGCATTCTGCAGTACCGTTAGCTGCAGTTTGGGAGCAACTGATGCCAGCGCAGCCGCAGCGCTGGTGTGATTTGTAATTTGCTGTAAATGCATTTCGCCAAGACAATTGCCGTTTAAATTCAATTACGCGCTTAACGGGTCAGCCAAGAGGCCAACGACAGCAGCAACAGCCGCGTCGGCAACAACAAGGCCAAGGCGATCTGGAGGAAGAGGCAAAAGGGAAAGAGAGAGATGCCATGCCAACGCCCCTGTAAACAGATGCCCTGCAGAAATTACAAAAAGTGCAGTCGCAAGCAGCAACAGTCGCCCAGTGCTTGTACAATCGCAGGCGAAATACAATTCCTATTGGGAGAGGGAGGCAGACCAAAGACCTCCGTTGGTCCATTTTGGAATGCTCTTTTACATTCCCCCCACACAGGAACAAATGCATTCATAGAAGTCATATGCATACATACAGAGATACACATACATTATGTGTGTGTTATTCTTGTTGCTGCTGCTGCTGCTGCCTTTGTATACCCTGTGAAGATAGACTGTATTGAGTTTGGAAAATTGTTTGTCAACCAGATGAAAAGATTGAACCCAAAGCTGAAATCTACATTTACCAAAAGTGAGGCATATGATTCTGAATGATTCATCCATCCGAAAATATGCAATGCACAGGCAGTTAGTAGTGAAACGATATTTCTGCAAGGGTATTAAACCTGAGACCCCCGCGTGTTTGTCTTTTTCTTCTCCGTCTCTTTGGTATTTTGCGCAATTTGTGCGCTGTACTTTTTATTTGTTCTTTGTTTCCCCTTCTTTTTTTTCCAAGTGGAGTTTTTAATGCTTTTGGTTAAGTCCATTCAATATCGGCTCCACGGCAAGTCAATCAATCAATCACCGCATTATATGGTTATATGACTATCAACCTACCCCCCAATCCAATCAATCAAAGCCATTAAACGAATTTAGAACACTCTTTTGGTCCGGTCGTCTTATCGCCGACAGTCTCGACCGTTTATTTTGTGCTTTTTGGATATTGTTTCGAAAGGGAAATCACAGAGACTCTAATGGGAGTCACAAAGATAAAGCCTTAACATTATTTAATGATGGTAATTGCTCAAGTGCCGCCGCTCAAGTGGGGGGGAGTTGCAATTACCCTGTAATTAATTAAAAGGGCTGGAGACCCTGCAGGGGGCCGGGATCTCTGCTGCGCTTGATGAGTGCCAATTGACTTTCCGAACTTGCAACTGGGGGGATGTGGAGTGCACTCTTTTTAGCCACCAATTGGACTATAGGAAGTGCAGTGTCTTTAATTTTATGTAATTGTGATTTAAATTTTAGTTATTTTCTGAAATCTTATACAATATCTGTGTAATCTCACTTTAGAGCATGGGATTCCTGTTTCAACTTGTTGACTGCTGACGGATGTCACATTTAAATTCCACTTTCCATGCCATGACAAATTCCATTTAAATACTATAATATATTCAACCCCATTTCAACCTTATCGCCCTGGCACATAGTCCAACAAAATATCATTGATTATTGCTTAATCTATATATGAAATATTTATATAGTAAAAATAGCCAATGTCACTTGCCAAAATGATAAGGAGAGGATCGATGGATGTGGGATGGATGGGATGGGATGGGATGGAGTACCCTCCTGGAAACACGCACAATCTGAATGATGTGTCCATTAATTCCACTTAGATTTATCTGATGTTACAATTAATTTATAAATGTTCAAGAGCCAAACAGAAAGTAGTGTAGTGTGTAATAATATTGTGTGGCGGCACGTCGGGTTCTTCAAGGGAAAAGTGTTCATGTGAATGTCTCAATGAATGAATAACCAAACAACCCAGTAAAATGTGTAATCAATCCATTGAAATTGTTTCTTAACTGTTGAAATTTTGGTGTTTTTTCTGTGCGTTATAATGTGTCGAATTGTTATCCAAGGATTAGCCACACGATGCACAGTAGGGCCACGAAAAGGAACACCCTGGAGATTGTATTTTCGTCGTTGATTTGCTGTGAGTCGCGATTGTCGGGAATCGGACGTTGTGCATCCAAATTGATGAAAGGTCGAACCAAATTAAAGGGAAAATAGTTAAGGTTATAAACCATGTGAGCTTCGCCAGCCAATTCAACTCGAGGGCTATTTAAAGCAACAGGAGCCAGCACTGGTTCTCCGCGTTGTCCAGCCGGTCGTTGGGGAATCTTCTTGCGAGGATCCACTTGCTGCTTGCAATTGCGCCCATAGATTGGTATGACTTTGTTCTTGTTCACCGAACCCTTGCACACGGGGCAGAGCTTGACTCTGTGACGCGTCACTAGCCACTGGTGCAGGCAGGGCCAGCAGAACAAGTGGCCGCACATGGTAACCACGGCCTCCTGGGCGATGTCAAAGCATATGTTGCACTCGTAAACCGAAGCATCAATGGGTTCCTCAGCATCCGCGGCGCCCGTGCCACTGTTCGGTTCGGTTGAACCACTGGAGCCAGGCTTAGCGACAGTCGATACGGTCGTACAGGCTGTCGACTGTGTTAGGGCTGTATCCGTAGTCTTGCCGATGCTGTTGTTGCCACCCTTCGATGGTGCCGAATCCATGGCTTGTGAGTCACTTTTTGAGATTTTCTATTCAATTTTGCAACTGACTTATCGGAATTTGGTTTTGTGTATGTGTTGATACAAAGCCACAATGACGGAAAACTAATGGGTATCTATCTGTATATGAAAATTACATTCCACACCTCGATTAGACTCGTTCCAATTGGCTTCCAAGTGTGTCAGAGATATGTAAATAATGGCTTGAAAAAGCAATTAGAAAATAACCGCAATAGCCGCTACAGCCACATGGTTCTCTCTCTCTCTCTCTCTCTCTGTCGATCGCTCCCTCTTTGGGTCTCTCTCTTTGGCTTGCCGTCTGCTGGCACTCTCTTTTCACTTGCCTATGAAAAGGAGTTTTTCTTGGTTTTTATTTTTTTGGGAAAAACTTGGCTAACTTTGGCTTTAATTTGTTTTCCGTTTCCCTCTGAGCTCGCGCCAAAACAGAAAAAAACAGCAAGAAATAAAAACAGGAGAAATACCACATGAAATGCACATTCAAGGCTATAAGCCACAAAATACAACAAAAGCAAAAAAAGCAACAACGTCAACGCCACTAAAAAGTAAACTTGCTCTTAAACTGGTTTTCCCCTCTCCCGCTCCCGCTCCCACCCTCTCTCTCTCTCTCTCTGTGTGTGTCTGGTTGTCTGGTCTTTAGTACTTGGCTCACTCGAAGCAGTAGTTTGCTTTCTTTTTTTTAGTCAGAGTCAAAGTCTGTTGACTGTTGATGACGACGACTACGACTGCATGTGGCCAAAAAATGCATATCTACCTCCCAGGAAATGCTGTCCCCACGCAATAATTTCTGATCCGAATAATACAAAAAGAGTCTCTAAAAGGGAGACATAAAAGTACAATGTGATCGCGCAGCTTCTAGCCAAGAGTTGAGTTCAAAGTACCAGATGTTCAGTCTTAACCTTACCCCCAATTGTTTGCTCTGATCCGCAACACTTACGCGTGCTACAGTACCCAGCAAAATCAGTTTGTTTGCAACTGTTGCCTGGAACCACCGGCACCACCGAACGTCGCCTCAACCTTGAAACTGGATTTTCAGTGAAATTTCTCACCCAAATCACACAGCGAGCGAGCTCTCTCCCTCTCTCTTTCTCCCCCTGCTGACTGTCTAGATTGTGTTTCGAGTTTTTGGAGCTTTCAGCCATAAACAATTGCCACATTTAAGGCTTATTTATTATGTAGCTGTCTCGTTTTTGGCCAAGCCATGCCCCATGCCTTTGGAATTTTTGGCTAATGCCCACAGTCAAGTGCAAAGAGTGGTTTCAATTCGGGCCGCAAGCTCCAAGCGAGTGATCATCATCAACAGCAGCAGAGGAGCCCACTCGACGACCCTCTCCAACTGAGGATGAGGCTTATCCACAACGGAAGTGGCTGCGCGGCTGGAATTCCGGTTAGAAAAGCTAGCAAAAAAATATATGTATAAAAAACTAACAGCCGAAAATCTTATCAGCAGGCGGTGCTCCGTCTCTCAGCAACAACAATTTTATTCAGCCTTGAGGTTGAGTCTTCAACTTTGTGAGCGAGCAATTTGCCAATCAACTGAGAGTTGATCTCTCTGGAAAACAAAACGAAAGAGCAGACACACAAATTTAATCATGGCCAACAATTTACAATTCTTCTCAGCGTTCGCTTGTGGTTGTTGCTGCTGTTGTTTTTGGGGACCCCGGGCCCAATCAAAATATTTAGCTTTAAAGTTGCAAATAAAAAAAAGAAGAGATGATCGACAAAGTCAATAAACAAAGCAAACTACAGCGAGGGAGAGCAGAGCAGAGTAGAAGAGTAGGAGAACAGCACGTTGCAGAAATATAAGACTTCCACATGGCGGAATACTGCATTGGTTTCAAACTCCAGCCGATCTTCTGCTGCTGTCCACCACTGTAGTAGCATCAAATGTACAAGTACATACAATGTATGTAAATATGTACAAATATATGTACATACATACATACATATGTGCATGCGTAAATTCATCTTCTGCTGCTGCTTGCTGCTGCATTATGAATTCGCCAGCGAATCTTTTTGGCCGGCGTTGGCCCTTTGGGCCTTCGGGGCAATTAATTACATTTTGCGCACTTTGTTTCCGCTTTGCATCGCTCTCTGTCTGTGAAGCGGTAGAATTTCGAACTCTTTTTTTTGTGTTTTTTTTGCCTGTAATTATTTCTTTTGCTTTTCTTTGTTTTGGTTCTTCTCTCACACGCCTTTCGCTTTGTAGTTTGCTGTTGTTTACCCAGCAAGCAAACTGCTGCAGAGAGGGTAGATCGGTACTCCGATTTGGCTTTGGGATGCTACTAAGTGAATTATTAATGGATATTCCGCTAGTCGGTGCAATAGGGTAGAAGATCGTGGCCACCCCTGAGGAGACGAAGGAGACACGAAGCCATAAAAGTGCCGCTGCTTCTTGCATTTTCTGCCTCTGCTGCCTGCTTTTGCTGGGAAGGTGTTGATGGTCATGCCCCATGTCCATGTCTCTGTCTGTGTCTGTGTGGGGGCATTGATTTCGTATTTCGTATGCCTTGCAGCGGCCTGAACCCCAAAGAACAATGCGCATGTGCGCTACTCGTAAATTGTTGCTTTATTTCGAGGTTCCTCTACCGGGCCCCCTCCCTAACCCTTCTGGGTTTGCATACATCGCTGCGTACATCGATCGGAATCAAAAAGCGTAACAGAGCAAAAAGCAGAAATGCCAAATATTTAAGCGGCGGCCCCCGAGATCCACAGCTGTGAAGGCTGCTGAAGACCCCGAGACACAGGCCTACCAGACGGGCCGACGGACAGACAGGCAGAGAGACCTACATACAGAGGTGGAGACGTCTTACACATAGGGAAAAAAGTCACACCAAAAATTCAGTACGTTCGGTTCTTTTGAACACCTTTGTGTTCAGGGCGCATATTTTTATTGGCTTTTTGGCCGTGTTTGTCATTCAATCAATACAATATTTGGTCACTGAGTAAATATTCGCTTTAGGTGTAAACCCATTAAAATTTTCTAGCTTTTAAAGTCCCCAATATTTAGTTCGATTTATTCTGAAAATATTTTGAGTATCGGAAACAAAGAATTCCACTGCCATTTTGCAACAATGTAAAGCAGAAAAGTGCGACTTAAATCCATTGACAAGTTTTCTCTCGGTGTAAGGCCCTGTGTCCACGGGACCACGGTGCTTGGGCCCAGTTTCGAGGCGCGACGTGGATTACCTTGCTATCGGCTTTGATGGTTTTGGTTTTGGTTTTGCTTTTGGTTTTGCTTTTGGCCGCTTGGTTCTTCTTTCACTTTGGCATTCCTGGACGTACTTTATAAATTGTTTTGCTTTATTTTCTCTCTTTGTTTCTTTTGCTGTTTCTGTTATTTATGTTACGAGTATGAGCGTTATGCGTTCCAGTTCTTTCACATGGGATTTACCGTGGTGGAGGAGGAGGTGCAAAAGTGGACGCTAAGAGATCAGTTAAGGCCATTCATTTAGGCTCAAAAATCGTTGACATTCTTAGTATGTTCCTCCTGCTGCTGCTGATGATTATGGGTTGATGCCACAAATGAAATGTCTGTTTTCTGTGGCCTGTAAGAAATCTGCAATACTCTGACGACTCCGACTGTTGGCCAACGGAAATCGAGGTGACTCCGCGCAATCAAGGAATTTTGTTGTCCACTCAATTTATGACTTTCTTTCTTTTTTTCGTTTGATATTTGGTTTATTTATGACTATTGGAGTGGACTATGCAGAGATAGTAGAGGGGCTAGTGTGTGTGTGTGTGTGTGTGTGTGACAGAACTTATCGCGATAAAAATTGATTGCAGCAGGTGCAGAATGCATGGCAGAATCGATGGAAAAAACTAAATGATGTCACAGTGTCCAGAAGTGTCCAGAAAAATGCTCGTAGAAAAGTGTGAGTCATTGAGAACCAAACCAGAGAGCAGCTTTGGGAGAGAGAGACAGAGCGGAAGCATCATCATTAGTTGTAGTTTTATTGCCTCGTTTTGATTAATTAGCTGGGAACAACTCTTCTCTGCATTCTGCGCTCTCCCAGACAACTCTCTCATCAGATGATGACGCTAGCTCGTGACTCGTCCGTTCATTGGAATTCACTGACAGCATGTTTTACATTTGCATTTCTGCTGTTAAACTGCTGGGAACACCAAGTTTAACCTTGCGATCAGCTTATATAACGCTACTTATTTTTTTTAAAGCCAACATCAGCAACAGAATTGACAGAATATTATTATTATTGCTAAAGGTTAAGGTTTTCTCTTGCCTCGCCTCATTTAGTCTCGTGTTTTGTTTCTGAAATAAAGCCAACAAATTAAACGCTTAAATCGTTGAAAATATTTACTTAAACGCTGACATCAGAGGAATTGTAGCTGCTCCAAAGGGGAACGGAAAAGGCGTAACACGGAGAGAGGAGACTGACAGAGAGAGAGAGAGAGAGAGAGAGAGAGGTGTACCGCAATCCAAATTGTTATTACTTTTCCCCCTAAAAACTTGAACTTAAAATTGAATTTATTTTCTTTATTTTTGTTATTTTCGTAACTTTTACCGGTTTACTATCGGTGTCTGGTATCTGCTTTTCGTCTGTTCTGTTCTGCTGTTTATCTGTTTAGCATTGTAGCGTGAAGCAGCAGCAGCAGCAGCAGCAGCCAGTCAGTCTTATGATCTTTTAGTTATTTTTTTCGATTTTCGGTGTTTGTTGCTCGGTTTGTTGGCTCTTTTTATTTACGACGCTTTGATTATGACGCCCCTTTATGGAGAAGGAGGAGTGCAAAGACTTCATCGGCAAAGCAGCAGCAGCTAGCAAGCGGGCAGATCGAGGCGGCAACACTGACAATAATTTGCATATTCCCCTCGAGGGCAGGAACCCGTTTCCACACAGAGGACAGGGCACGGCAGCGTCCCCAGGTGCTGGCAGTAATCAGGCCACCCGGTAGCAGCAGCAGCAGCAGCAGCAGCATAGAATTTGTTCCCAGGAGAACCCAGAATAAAGCGGCATAGAAAAAGGTTCCATAAGAGGATTGCTCTAAGCTTTGAAAGGCCCTGTTCATGATCCTAGAGATTTGCTCTTTGGATTTCCAATTAATTATTTATTTTCTGACACAAACA